CGAGTGTAGCTATATTATTGAACAAGCTTTAGTCATTATTTTATTAACGTAATTCAATAATAGGCTAGGTGCATAACACGTAATAAATACTTTGTAAATGAACAAAAGCACGATTTGTTGTTATAGTTAGATCAAAGTTATAGTTTGAACGGAACCGCTGTGCCACACCTTAGAGGGCGTAGTTTGGTTGAGCCAAGAAGAAAAAGTATAGTTCACTGTTATTGTGAACGGATTTTAAGATATCAATTAAGTGATGTATGAAAAGACCAATGTGGACAGTTGGAAATTAATAAGCAAAAAAATCGGGCTTCGACACGAGATATCAGATTTCAGCACCACCTATCTTTGATAAGTACAAGATGTATATTGTACATGTCATGCGCAGCCAACACAGATACCTAGTTTGATACAAGTAACACTAACTACCGTTACGAGCACTAGACTGACGACAGACTGATAAAGCGCAACGTTCGATATTCGGACTTATCTCGGTCAAACTATGTATAATATTCAATACTCAGCACTGCAATCCACGTTGTTGGTACTTGGCTAGTAAACACTTATATAGATTACATTGACATTTGTTTCATCATAGCGAAAGTGAGTTGACGTGAACATTTTTGTGCCAAGTAGGTACTTAGTTTTTACAACTCTATCACTTACATATTCGTTTACCATAAAGTCACTAAACTAGCTAAATATAAACTACTTAGTAACTTGTAATTTAATCTTGTTTTTTTAGCAGTTATCAAAATGGGAAGTCATCAGAATGGTTCGCAAGAGGATCATCACTATGAAAAATACCATAAAAGGGTAAGAAATATAACCTAAAAAAATCTACAGAACCGTGTGTACGTACCATATTAAAATAAGTCATAAAACCGCTTATGTACCCCCTAGTAAGCATAATAGTGTCGTAACCATAGTAACCACGCCCATTTCTTTAATTGCCATTGTTGACGGTCCCCGAAATATTTTTATAGTGCAGTACTGCTCGTAACTACGGGTCCCTGGTGTGGCTTGATACTAGTCGAGTCACCGTCAAAAATTCATGTGAGCAAGACGGATATTATAATTAAAATATCTTATGTTTTCGTGGTATTTCATTACAAATGTTTCCTAAGGTTTTTCACTTATGAAAACAAGGTAACTAGTAATATTAATATGGTAGTCTTGCCCTTCTTAAAATATTTGTGAAACTGAAGACGCCGATTTGAAAATATGTGAAATTTTGGATAGAAATGGGATAACTTGGTAATAATGGTTATTGTTGAATTAATGAACACTTGTTAAAAACTAAAACGATAAACATATCGACTGTTTTATTAATTGGTCTACGCTAAAATTAGTAACTCTTATAGGAACACTGAACCCAGAATACTATTCAAATAGTCTGTTTCTCACTAAAATCGCGCTTATTAATGAATTTATAAGTATGTTATTTACACTGGACTATAGTTTGGTACAGTATATCTATAAATCTATATTTCCTTTTATTTCAATTCACAGGAAAAATCACCATTCCGAGATCGTTCACACGAAGAACCAAGAGACAATAAACAATATCCTTTTTAATATCATCACATATGTCTTCATATGTATAACTTTTTTACGAATTTCATATTAGAGGTCATCCACATAAAACGTCTTCCAAAATTTCGACATATTGAATCCCTCCTCTCTCGTCCCCCCGTTACGCTTTTTTGCGATAACTTTAATATGTATACCCTGTGTGAACACCTCTCCTGATTGTTGTTCCGTAATCTGTGGATGACCCCCTTGTTTCATGTTTAAATTTTTGTTAGTAGGCCGTACACGACACCCTAAAATGATGGGTTTTATTTTAATTAATGAAATTTACATAAACTGGATTTGTATATATAACTAGCTGGCCCGGCAAACTTCGTACCGCCTATTAATGTTTTTTCTCACCTTTTAAACCTTTCCTGGACTTCCACGAACATTTCAAGACCAAAATTACCTAAATCGGTTCATCCGTTCTCGAGTTTTAGCGAGACTAACGAAAGGAAATTGATTTTTATTTATATACATAGACTAAATGTTAAATTATTATATTAATTGTTGCAGCCAACTAGTTTAATAAGCCATTTAACTAACGGTCTAGCCTGTTAAATAATCTACTATACTATACTATTATAGTTATACTATAGCTATAACAGTACAATTCTGGTGAATTTTATTTCTGCTGGCGATGTCATTTCTGTGCCAATCACAGTTTTAACATAACGTAAATCACTATTTTTTTAAGGGAGGAAAATCGTCGACAGTAAGAGTGAATCACTGTGGTAGCAACTCTGTTTCAATCATTCAATGACAATCTCTTCGCCTTTCAACTAATGACCTGAACGGGAAATTCAGCCATTCAATCAAACTGCTAACCATTCTGGCCGTTTGTTTAATGTCTAATTAAGCTAACTAGCTTAATATATGGGTGCGACATATGCATTACAATTATATTAGTATACCTAATATGGTAAGGAATTTATTAGATGTATGAGAGTCAAACTGTCCATCAAAATGAATAGGTACTAAAGGCTCCGCCCCTGCTTCGGGCGAGATGTTATATCATGAAAATAGTGTTTTAAGGTGTACCTACATAAAGATTATAATTTCCTTAACGCCATATTTACTAGACGGTCGAACGAATCGAAAATAAGAAGATGAAAGCAGCCGAAGGTTTTAATTGGAAGAACAAGCAATTGTGGTACTATTTCGTGAATAAAAAGCGTTAAGACCACATGAATTCGTTTTATTGAACGTTAGTCTTTTATTATTAACCTAACCAATGTGTAATATAACAGTATCACTCGATTTAGATGAATGACAAAAATAATTAGTCACATACAAATGTATTACATTTCAACTCTTACTGTAACACAAACCTTAATGTTACAAATTAATTTATTTATTGATTTATAATTATTATGATCAATAAATAATAAAAAGTTTTGTTTAACAGAACAAGACTAATCTTTGTAAAATTATGTTATCAAACTAACCCACAACGTAAAAGCAAACATTTCATTGTTTATTTGGATTGAATAGGTCTCCAAAGTTAAGGTTTTCAGTAATGGGAAACCTCTTCAGGGCAGGGTCCCATCTGTCCCGATAATTTCTACAGTATCGAGGTCTATTCGAGAAGTCTAGAGAAATTATACTGGCGCTGCTGAGGCCTCTGATTAAATTAGGTGGGTTAACAATCAACTCCTACGAACAAGTAGCGAATAAACTGCAGGTAAGGTACTGTATTCATATACACAATATGTACTTTACCTACGATTTTCTCTCTCACACGGGCACAGGTGTTAGTTCTGAATAAATAGAACAATGTAAAGGCACTGGAATAACAGTTTTAGTGTATCTATCAATTACAATCACTCTAAAAACAAGTAAAAATGCATATTTCATTCTTACGGTCGATCTTTAGCAAAGTACCGACTCTATAGTTAGGTAAGTGCAAAAACTCTGGCATAGCTGTAACACAAACTTTAATGTTACAAATTATTTATTGATTACATTATGATCAATAAATAATAGAAAGTTTTGTTCAACAGTACAAGACTAATCTTTGTGTTACTGGTTAACTCTAATTATACTGACTTATGATTATGTTAAAACTCTAAAGCATACATAAAACCGGTTATTTTGACCTATGTGACCTGGAAATACGTTGCAACTGACAACTTCAGATAAGATGTGCAGTAAGCAGTAACTTCCGGTGGCCATACCTAACGAGTGCGTACCAAACAGAATAATTTATAATAACAAAGTAAATATCTACCTACAATCATAAATAGTTTAAGTCGGTACCTACTATTGGTTTATTAACCTCTCATTAGGATACCGTCCAATTCTCACGAAGGTAAATAGGTAGGTACTTAGGTACGTATTACGACGAAAACAACTCTTAACTTATTTATGATAAAAATATAAACTAGGTAAGTATGTACACTTATATATTATTGGTAATAACAATACAAGCACTAGGTACAGATGGGTACACAATAATAACCGGTTACCAACGCCAGTGTACATCTTCACTTACATTAATAATAGGTAGTAGTAGACTGACTAGGTATGCATATAATAAATCAACATCCTACTAATTTTTAGCCTTACCTACAGAACAAACTTCATTTGGAGGGTTCAATACTTCAATAGTTCGTAAACTATACATATGTAAGTAGGTAGGTACCTAATCCTTAGGGCGTGTGACATGCGTCAGATGAAAAAAAAGGGATTACGGCGAAGATACAGATAACAAAGTGTAAGTAACGTAAGCTACACAAATTAATTAAGTGTGAGTAGATACCGTCAATTTTCAATTTTGTAATAGCAAAATAAATCAATAAAGGCAGTATGAGGATTATCAGTTTTCGTCTAAATTAGAAAGGAAGCAGAAGAGAAGGTGCGGCGCGCGCAGCGCAGCGCCGCGCCATACCGCAACGCGTCGTAGTTATGTATACCTACGATGAAAAATGCATACATGTGAAATAAAGTATCTATTACATTGGTACCTAATGTTTATTCACGACTTCCAACCACACCTATGTTGTGTTATTATAACTATAACCTATGTCTACAGCTGCTGCTGAAGTTAGGTTAAGTACAATAGATACTATAAACCAAGATAAGACCCAGTTAATCTATTACACGAAACGATTTTATGTTATACCATATGTAGCAAAAAATAATTAAAAGTTCTGAAGACAGTTCAGCATTTACCTTCCACACTACACAAATACACAAAAGTAGGTGGTACGTGCTACATAATAACAACAATATTGGGCAAGTATAATTCAATAAAATTTCTTAGTTTTACAAATAGCAAAGAGACTAAAAGTATAATAAATTAATACCTATGTCCAACATCACTAAAAACACTTATCACATATTAAAATTACATAAACAATACGACCTAAACATAATATCCTAAACTTTGAACGCACCATTTTCATCTTGCTTATCTGTGGTCCAAATAGTGCGAACGAAGCAAAGGAGTGGATATTCATAACCTAAAATGTAACATATAAATTAAAAATACATATTGTTTCATATTAAAATAGATAGTAAGTTTACAGGATTCCACAAAAAATCCTGGATAGTCCTTAGGATTTTCTAGATTTAAAAAGGTTAGTTTTTATTTCGAAGATGCAACGGCGGCCATCTTGTTAACTGCGTGTCTGCTGACTCCAATCGTTTGTTATTTCAATAATAGGTAAGTGATTAATAATATATTATTTTTTGTTACGCTTTATTTATATTAAAAGTTTCAATGACGCACTTATTTTGCTATTTGAATTGTGAAGGTAAGCACATAGGTGGGTCTACATGAAAAAAAGAAAAAAATCCTAATTAACGATAAATAGATAATTTGCTAACACCCATGGATTAGGTACCTAATGATTGACGACTTTATATTATTATGTACATTGACGATAATGATTTAGAAGGTACCTACTCGATAATTTATTACCTACGCATGGTAGAACGTCGTCGTGCCAACTTCCCAAGCCTTCCTTTTGACCGGATCTGGGGATCCGTAAAGAGTTGCCGTGGCTCCGGCTTGAAGCAGAAGTTGTACAGGGTGGTCTTTAGTCAGTCTGACACTCCCGCTCGCCTCACCCAGGGCGGGAAGGAAACATTTGATGATTTTCTCCCCTCAATTAAAGCCTACTTTTAAACGATGAAAATTGTGTGTTGTTTTAAGGATATGATCTCTAGCGTTTTGTTTCGCACCGTTAATAAAAGTCACAAGAAACAGAGGTTGGAGGAACCTACCCATAGAAAGATGTCGCGGAGAACCTAACGGGTAACCGGGGCTCCGGCTCGACGTGCAGGAGAAGGAACGGGGTGGTTTTTAGTCAGTAAGAGTCTGACACTCCCTCCTGCCTCACCAAGGCGGGAGCAGTCATTCGATGATTTTCCCCCCTTAAAAAAACCCATAGAAAGATCATGGCAGAACATTGGTCATTAAACTAGGCCTACTTTCATAAAAAAGTGCTTAATTAGGTACCTATCACTTATTAGATTGGTAATCCAGATATTAAACTGTCAAACACCAAGCGGTCACCGGTGACCGCAACCTATTGTTCTATAATTGTGTCTACAAAACCGGTACTCGACGAGTTAATATGCATTTACTCCTTACCTCTATTTCTTTCTATCTTTTTTGACAATTACACATATTTCACCTTCATTTGGGTACTTGCCTACGTTTGAATTGAGATCGTAATGATTTGGTCTGTGCAATAAAACCCGCAACGAGGGTGTGGCTGTAGAGATACCAAGCTGCTCTAGAATCAATCGAGTAAAGGGCAATGCCCAAAATCGATTATAATCATTCATTAACAATATAGTAGACCATAAGTGAGAGGTCGCAAATACGCTATCCATTTTGAATACCAATACCGAACGGGTCAGCAGCCTGCACCATAGTTAGTGCAGTTTTGTATCAGGCCGCGTGAATAACTGACTTATTGTCTTCCTACTGTGTTTGTTACTAATGAAAGACCTGAAGAATACAGATAAGAATTAACATTTACGAGAATTAAACCCCCCAAACCTATAAGATTTTCCAAGATTATCATACCACTGTGTGGTTTTGTTCCAAAAATACAATATAAACTGACAGTTAAATCTGCGGAAAGATCACCAAAGAGAGACTACGATAAGCCAATCATATTTTTTATTATTTGGTGATAGTTTAACCCATGTTATGCCGGAATGTAGATATACGCGAGACACAGTGTGTTTTTTTAATTTTGTCTCGAATATTATACGCAGATAACAGGAGAACGAATTGAAGAGAAGAGAAGAATCGAAATGTAATGTATGTACCTTGCCACATTCTAGGTTTTTGTTCAAATATTTTCGAGAATTTAAGATCGCTGTGCTGCGTGGTGTGGCCCACGGGTGTTTTCATTTCAAATTACCTGTTGTCTGAACAGGAATAAATGTAAGGAGATTAATTAAATGCACGTGACACTAATGCTTTAGTGTTTAATTGGGCGTTTTGATGTGATCGAGTAGCAAACAAATACGCAAACTTACAAAGTTTCGCATTTATTATATTTCGTTTCATTACTGGCTTGCTTGCCAAAATCAATAATTTGACCACATTGCGTCGAAACGCAACGTGACTTTTCTAAAATCCCTTCGTAGTTTCATAGAGTATCAAAAATTTGTTATGTATATTTTCATATGACCCTATGTATGGGCTAATAGAACGAATTTACGTCTCTCGAGTTGGCTATGTGACCATTGTGAGTTCGCACGATGTCAAACTCTCGATTTTACAAAGTTGCTAAAAACGTTTTCAAAAAGATCACTGAGTACAATGTACATACATAACCATGTACATAATCATGTACATTGTATTACAATTTTTCCTAAAATATAAATAGGTAAGCACGCCTCGGCCAGTACCAGGTTAGTCAATCGCAGAGCTCGAAGCAATTTCTATTGAAGGACTCTCAATCTTATATAAGACTAGCTACTCCCGCGCGGTTTTGCTTGCTCGGGTCCTATTTATCGTAGAGTGAGGTTTTGCAGCCTGTAGCCGTTTTCAAAAAATCGTCATCATCATCAACAGCCAAAGTGCCCACTGCTGAGCAAAGCCTCTCCTTCACGGAGAAGGTTTGAATATTAATCACCACGCTTGCTAGATGCGGATTGGCGATGACAAACTTATAATTAGAAATTATATGTCCAGGTTTCCTCACGATGCGTTCCTTCACCAGTTTGTCAGTGACCTCCATCCATACATACGGTTATCGATATGATCATACTACATACGAACAAACGATCATACTACATATAACGTCATAAACCTCCGGGCCACCATGACTTCAATAAATGATTACAGTGAAAATAAATAGAATACAAATAGAACCAGAACAAGTAACGCGCCATTTACGCCACAAGACCGATGAATCCGCCCAATAAAGTGCAAGTGAGTTGAAGTTGGTTACAACAGGCAAGTCGTAACTTACTTACTAATTCTAAGTAAAGTAAATTTAATCATCATACCAACCACCAGACGTCTACGGCTGAACTTCTCCAATGACTCTCATATAGGCTGGTTGGAAGCAACTCGCATCCAGCGGCTCCTTATGACCTGAAAACTTCTTTAGCGGCGTAGTACACTTTTCTTGTAATGGGTATAAAATGTTAGACTTGCGTCAGGACTCGCGTCAGGACACGTGACCCTGATCGAAAATTCGTAAGACGGATTGACAACTGGCGTGGCGTAGGACAGGGAGTACGCCCTCTCTTTCTACGGCGCGGCGAAAATGTAGCCTATGCCTGCGCCAGCTGTTTCGTTTAGGCGGCGCAGGGCGCTTGCGCCAAAGTTCGTGTGTGTTTATATGTTTAATTGAATTTTTAAATAATGAACTAGCTTCCGCCCACGACTTCGTACGCGCAGTCCCGTTTTCTCCCGTTCCCGTAGGAATTCCAGGATTTTTTCTGTCGTAAGAACCTTCTTCTGACAATAACAAACACAACAAAAAAAGATCAGCCTAATCGGTCTTCTCAAATTATGGCGTGATAACGGGAAACGGGTTACATTTATATATATATAGATTTGGTTTAACTATGTCAAATGATCGCCATCTTAGCACAACGTAATTCAAAACTGCTATTGATGCGGTCTTTATTAGACATTGAAATAGGTTCGAATCAAAACTGATCGTTTCTTACTTCAGCTATCATATAAACCAATCGAGTCAGTTTTAGAGATTGGCGATGATGGTTCTAATAATAATGATAGTGAAAAAGTCGTCGAAATTATGGATGGAAGTTGATTTTTCTGAGGGATAAACTTTTTAATGTAATATAAATTGTCATGTTTGTGTACTATAGCGCAATAAATAAATATTGTATTCTACCAGTTAAAAGATAGTACTTTTATTATGATAATTAAAGCAATTGGTGCAAAATTATTCCATAACCATTCCATAATATCCAAAACGTACAACGTTAATACTTAAGTTTTCACTTCTGCCGGCATTCCCGGAGTGCAAACCGTCGTTTTTATATATATATATATATTTGATGAGCCGACGTTTGTCCTGCTGGTAAGTGATGATGTAGCCTACGATAGAGCGCATCTGCTTATAAGCAACCTATTCTCTCGGACTTTGAAGACTCAAGTATACCCTTCAGGAGACACAGACTCTGGCGAAGAATTCCACTCCTTAGTAGTACGTACAAGGAAGTTTGATGCAAAGCTTTATGCGTGTGGGTGGGAAATCTGCCATGAATCGGTGACGTTTCGCTGGTTATCTTGTGGTACGATGATGAAAAGGACTAGGGGGAATCAAATTGTGCAATTCCCCCGCACACTCAACGAAATATATCCGGTAAAAAACAAAAAGGCTTGCAACCAACTTCACGTCTGTTTTTTTTTTTTCAAATTTATTCGTACAAGCATGTGTATACATACACACACACGTCACACAATTATTAGTAATAATTTAATATTATTATTTTTGTATGTAATGCCAGAACTAATTGATGCATTCGGTCTTGTACTAAAGTGCATGATAACAGTTTTATTCAGGGTAATTTTTAGGTTATTATTGTTTAACCAGTCTATGGCATTAAGTTAACTACTATTTATGTCATTGTTGTATTCTTCTCTTATTCTACATGGTATGGTTATAGTGCTATCATCCGCGAAAAGTGACATGGTATGTTCTATACTTTTCGGAAAGTCATTTATATATATCGTAAATAAAAGGGGGCCTAAAACACTTCCCTGTGGAACGCCATATGTCACTTGACGTTCATGTGATGTATCTATTTCTTCTCGTTTAGTTTTACTATTGAGTCTACTGATTTCTGTAACTTGCCATCTATTTGATAAATAACATTTTAAAAGATTTTGTATATTTCCTCGTACCCCATAATTTTCAATTTTTTTTAGTAGAGTATTATGATTTACATACTCAGAGGCTTGGGTCATATCACAGTAAATCGCACATACTGGATTTTTTTATCTACATTGACTATCACTTTATAAAGAAATAGAAAGCCATGTTTATGCTTTTATTTGCCCTGAAACCTTTTTGTTTGTCACAAAGTAACTTATGGTTTTCAAAATATGTATTTAACTCTTTGTATATGTATTTTTCAAATATTTTAGAAGTAATTGGTATCAGCGAAATTGGTCTATAATTTTCCATTAACTCGTCGAGTACCAGTTTTGTAGACACAATTATAGAACAATAGGTTGCGGTCACCGGTGACCGCTTGGTGTTTGACAGTAACTCTTCGAGTACCGTCATTATAGACACAATTATAGAACAATAGGTTGCGGTCACCGGTGACCGCTTGGTGTTTGACAGTTTTCCCTATTTTGTTTTTTAAATAATGGCTTTATTATAGATTTCTCTATGGCGGCTGAAAATATACCATTTTTTACTAATGCTTAGGTTTATTATATGGCTTAAAGGTTGGCATATTTCGTATGATACTTCTTTAATAATCTTAGTATTAAAACCATCGCATCCTACGCTGTTAGTATTTTTCAAATATTCAATAATATTTACTATGGCTTGTGGCACACTCGGAGCCATAAACATTGAGTCCTTTTTACTTAGAATATATAATTACAAATTCCAGTGCAATGCAAGAGCGATGGTTGGATTTTATCAACAAAATAATTATTAAATAAGCTACTTATTTCGCTAGGATTTGTTATGCATTTATGTTCTAGACGGATTTTCTTTATGTTATGTTTAGGTATATTGAATTTTGTTTTGTTCAATGATGTTTTTATTTTATAAGTATTTTGTGCAAATTTTGTCTTATTAACCATTGTTCTGAACAGTTTAGAATATTTTTTTAACTCGCTCCTATTCTGAATGGTCGGTTTTACTCGGTACTTCCACAACAGTGTTCGTTTCTTTTTACTACACAACTTTATCCCACGTGATATCCATTTCTGTTTTTTATTTACGTTTATTGTTACCACTGTGTTCGAGGCTTTGAAGCCAAGCCTCTATTAGTGCATCATCGTTCATGAACCTCTTGGCACGTCTCTCGATGTACTTTAACTTGTCCAGCTGGTATTTAGCCTAGCCGTCCCAAAAATGAGAACAGTATTCCATACGGGACCAAACCTGTGCTTGATACACGCTCAGCAATTGAATGAATCACCCTCCATAGGATATCCAACTTCCTACCAGTCAGTTGCGCTTTCGACTCTATATAGGAGCCAAAGTTGAGTATGAGCGTCAGAGTTATGCCAAGAAGTTAAAGACGATCAGTCATAGGAACAGATACATTCCGGAAAGTAGGAGTCAGCGGAAATCGACTCCGTTTGGCGGGAAATAGACACGCCTGGGTTTTGCTAGCGTCGAACTTACCCAGTCGTAGACTACCTTCAAGGACGAGATCAAACGTTCGACTATCGATTCTCTTAGAGACTGGATCTGTGTTCTACTACTCTTTACATGAGACACATACCTTTCAACAACTGTGCAGCAAAATAAGCGGTGCTCAAAGTACTCTGAGGGCTCCGGCTTTAAACTGTCAAACACCGGTTACCGGTGACCGCTACCTATTGTTCTATAATTGGGTCTATAATGACGGTACTCGACGAGTTAATTTATTGTTTATTGTTCCTTTATTTCAGGTAACTGTGGCCCATATAAAATATAATACACAAATAAATAAAAATATACAATACAAAACTGAAACAGATACAAAATTGTAGGTACCAATAAATAAGTACATCAATAAACTAATAGATATACAATAACAAAACTTATAATTATAACTATATAGTTAATACCGAATTGGTCACACGAGCAGCCGTCGATGACTACTCCAATTGTCTGATTCATTAGGAAGTCTGATATCGCTCGCCTCGCTCCTAATGTAAGTGGCATACGCAAAAAAGACCCCAATAAATCGTTTGCTTCAAAACCCGTATTGCCGATCGCTGAGGAGATCGTTACCTTCAAGGTATTTTTTAAGGGTGGAAAATCATCGAATGACTTCTCCCGCCTGGGTGACGCGAGAGGGAGTGTCAGACTCTTACTGACTAAAAATCACCCCGTTCCTACTCCTGCATTTCGAGCCGGAGTCCCGGTAACCCGTTAGGTTCTCCGCGGCACCTTCAAGGTATGCCAGGAGCCTATTGTTAAGCACACGTTCCATACTCTTGGAGAGTATGTGTGAGTGCACATTCTACGCTGCGCTTGCCAGGACGCGGTTCCACTCGACAACATTGCTGCCCCAGCAGCTGTCGTTTCTCCCAGCCATGTGCCCTGCCCACAGCGACTTCAGCTTTTTAATCCGCTGGGATATATCGGCGAACTTTGTTCGTTTACGGATCTCGTAAATAAACGAAATTAAGATTTCATAACGTGAATTACCAATATTTTAAGTGTTATCTTAACAACCCCGTGCTTTTAAGAAAATATATATTCACATAATCTAGACATTGAATACTTATCAATAAATTACATTTCATTTCTGTTGGTTGAACGTCCAACTTTCATACTAATTTTGAAAAAAAAGTACCATGATTTTTTACAAACTTTAGCTTAATCTCGAAATTATTGAAAATACCGGAACATCGTTATGTGTCTGTGGTATTAATAGATACTGAAAATACCGGTTTTGGTTAAATGACTTAAATTCGGAATTGTGTCCCCTATTAATCGGTTCAGTGATTTGATAACAGTGCTTTAATAAAAAGTTTCCATCAATTTAACCCCTTTTTCTCTCTTATTGCTACCTTACACTACATCCCCCAACTTCAACTCTCTACGAAACAGTAGTTTTGGCTGTCCGTTATCTGTCAGTCATTCACTCAGTAAGTGAAAAGTTTTATATTCACATTAGCTACTCCTGCACGGTTTTACCCGCTCTGCTAGGCTTCAATACAGCGTAGAGTGATGTTTTATGACCTATCCCTACCTTTCCTCGATAAATGGACTATCCAATAGAAAAAAGGAGGAGATTAGCGTGTACAAACTATTCAGCTTTATAATAGTAGATTAGGTATGCAATAAGAGGAACGAAAAAACGAAGTCCAAAAATATGTTTTCTCTTTAGTTTCAGATATCAGGAATCATGGACAGCAGCTGTGCTAAAGTGTTTTCTTCCAACATTACGCGGGTTGGTAGTGATCATGTGAATTATCTTTACGATCTTTTAAAAGTGCAACCAGCAATACCTCTTAAAATTAATGATGTTAAAAAAACGACTTGCGATTATATACCTAAAACAGATAAGTGTTATATCCCAAAAAGAAAGTCACGATTGAAAGTTAAAACTGTTAGAGATATCAGAAAATCGTTTGAACAAGATACATATGCCTATCTTCTTACTGATTTAGAAACACAACAAAATATTTTATTTAAAAAAATTAGACATGGGTCGTCGGGTGACTGTAATACAAAAAAAATGGCAAAAAGCATTTTAAGAGGTGATACACCTGTTTCGAAATCTACCTGGCAGATGTTGATTAATCTTAATCCAGAAGACCACAAATATCCACGTCAGTTTGTTTTATGCGATGGGAAATTTATTCAAGTGAACGGAAGTTTCGGGGGCAATAGAAAAACCATTTGCAATTACGATTTAGCAAACAAGAGTTTACCAGCACAGAACATTAAAATGAAATTTCCTGGTGACAATAAAGTAAACAGGAAAAAAAGCCTTTTACGCAACTCTTTAACCGTTAGATTCAAACCAGGTCCCTTTTGCAGGAAAAAAATTCTTGACACATCCTACCAAAAATATCATGTTGGGAACACTGAATTATTAGATCTACCAAAACCAGGTATCGATATATTTCCAACATATGGTATTGCGTTAGAACCAACAATTACTAATTTTTTAAATAATTTGCGTCACGAAGATGGCACTATTACCCGAAAATGGGCTGAATTAGCCGTGTCTGTTTTAGGCACAATCGAAAAATCTAAAGCAGTTCCACTAGAGAAGAATTGCATCACATTTGATTTAGCATACAAGTATAATAAAAAAAAATTACTAATGCGCCGTGACTCAGAAATATTTTTGGATATGTCAGAGTCAATAAATAAAGATTTACAGACACAAGAAACAGATGTAGAAGCTGAAATAGAAGAGATGCTGAAGAAGATCGTAGACTCTGTAGAAATAAGTTTGGTTCAAGATTCATTTTTCGTTAAAGAAGATATTCTCAAACCAGTTTCATGTAAAGATATGAATAGCATAGATACTTTGCCATTGGTAAAGGATAAATCAAAGAGGAAATTTGGCGAACTAGACAGACTTGACGTTACAGTTATTACTTTGCCGGAAACCGCACAACGTACTTCATCACAAACTTGTTCAAAAATGTACTGTGGTTTAGGTTGTATCTGTGCATCATTAGCAGGCTCATACAATATAAAGCAACACTGTGGGCGTGTAGAATGCATGTTCCATTGTAAATGCGATTTTACTTATAAAGGTGATTTATCATGTGCAGATGGTTCAAGTCTATTTCCAGTGTTATTCAATATAGATAGTGAAATGAACTTAAATTTAGCAAAAGAAGAGCAAAAATTTCATCAAACTGTTATTGTAGCTGGTGAAAAAAGAATTTTGTTGAAAGGAGAAAAAAGAAATTGGAAAACATCAAAAAAGTACGCTGATTTTTATAGTAATATGAGCTTAAAGCATGAACATCAGAAAAAACGACAGCTAACTGTAGTAGCATTGAAACTGAACTGTGAAAACATTGAATCTTGGTGCATGGTTCATAACTTGTACAAGTGCTTTTGTAAAGGTAGATTTGTAGAAACTTGTGCTTCATTGTCAAGCGAAGCAGTAGTCAAAGAGTCACCGCCTATGGATGCAATAAGTAATAGTGTTGAACATTTAGAAGAAAACTTAAAAGAAACGAGTGATAAAGACGAAAGTTTGGTACTATCTACAAAATCGGAACAAGTAAATTCAGAAAAACAATCGAAATCATATTATAACTCTCTTACTAAGCACAATAAAGTTCATTCATTAAAAGACCTGGATAACTCTTCATATGATATGAGTATAAAACAAAAAACAAAGTACGATCCTCTCGTAAATAAAATTAAATATAAAAAAGTAATAACTAAAAATATACAAACTGAACATGAAAGTTCAGTTCCAGAATTTGTCAATACACAGAGGGTTATGGTAACAAGGCATTCTATTAAAAAGACAAATGTGAAGGAAAACTGTCTCGTAAATAAAGAAAAGCAACATGAAACATCTGATTCAGAAAGTAAAGATTCAGATTCCTGGGGAGACCAAAGTATGACAAGTTCAAGAACGAATGCATACGAAGGGAGGAAATACAGCAATGGCTATTACAAAAACACTAATTATAAAATATTAAACATGGAGAAAAATGATAAGAGGCTTCAGGAAAAACTAGCCAGTATTCATAGGAAAATCTACGGAAATGAACCTGTTAAACCACCAACAACCAACGATGATGCTGGTATATTGCAATTACTTTGTGACCCTACTGTGAATAATGAAGAAATGGAACCTAAAGCTAAAAGAAAGCGTTTAGGTAACACCAAACTTGTTGCGTGGTTAGAAACAAATTATAAATTGTACAAAAAACGAAACGATAAAGGCTTGAAGGATTGTTTAGAAGCTCCACAGCAAGGGAAAGTGGCGTTACATTCATGGGATTTTATTTTAAAAAGATATAGAGAAAGAAAGAATCTATTTTTAGTATCTAATGTACCACCCTATAGAATTTTTATGGCAGTAAATACTCGCAATCCATTTTTCGCTAATTGCATCAATATAAATGATATTCGTTTTGCGGATCTAAATAAATATCCACAAACTGTTAAAAATTTACTTATTAATGCATCTGACTTAAAAGATAACTTCTGTATTTTACGTGGACTAGCTTGTTGCTGGGAGCTAATTGGGTCTGTTGCTAAAGTGAATGAAAATAGTGAACAGAAAGACAACGAAAACGATGAAATATCACAAATAAACATAGAGACGTTCAATGTGAAATCATCAGACATGGAATCTTCTAAAATTGAGACCTTTAATGTGATACCGTGTTGTAGTATAGAGACTTTTAATCTGGAATCGTCTAATTTGGGTTCGCCTGACATGGACTCTTTTAATATAAATTCCCCTAACACAGATTCATGCGGCCTAGGGTCATCTAACATGAGATCATCTGATATTGAATCAATAAATTTGGAATCATCTAGTGTTGAATCGTTCAGTATGGATAATGGTAGTTCTGATTCATTTAGAGTGGAATCTGTTGAAACGAAATCTACACATAAGGAATCTACAAACAAGGAATCTACAAATAAGGAATCTACAAATAAGGAATCTACAAAAAAGGAATCTACAACTACAAAATCTACAAACACGGAATCTACGAATATGGAATCGTTATCAGTATGTAGTCAAGTTAATTCAGGGACAAACAACAAATCTTTGGCTGAGAAAATTGAACACAAGGATATTTCTACTAATGGCAATACACTCTCTCCGTTAGATGCTGGTTCATCAAAATGGTTTGTAATGACTATTGAACATGATTTTAGTGAAATAAGGTTTTTCAAAAAAGGATTCTTTGTTAAATATGAGAGTATAATAAATGCAGTTAACGTTGCCCGACTATCAGGAAAAACAGTAAGACTATCGTCAAAAAAATTTACACAAACTGATCTGCCTCAATTTGGTATTTACGCTATTCCCAATAACAACGAATACTGTGTGTTTGTTGGACCGTATGAAATGGAAGACCCTTTAGGTATTGAAACTATTAAAACTATTTTGGACGTTAGAAGAATGAAGAGAACCAGGGGTTTTTGGATTACCACGAATAAAATCGACAATCTGAAAGTAGTAGAAAACCCCTTGTCATTTGTACCATCAACAAATAATGAAAGTAATAGCGCAATGCCCTTAGAAACTCATTTTCAGACAAACGACGACACAAAAATAATACAAAGAGATGACATAACAGATGCACAAGACAGTATTTCACCAAACAAGATTGAAACGTCACCTTCTAAACCAGGAATTAAAATTGTAAAACCAATTAAAATTCGCAAAACTAATGGCTTTTATCATCTAGCTTCAGATGGTGTATTGAAAAAAATTGCTTTAAAAAGTTTTCGCAAAAATCCATCCAGCTCCAAGGCAGTGCCTGTCGTAATAAATATTGAAGAAAGTAATGGACCATCTTTACTAAAACCTAACCTTTTTCCTAACGACTTCAATCCTAAACCTGTCCCAGAAACATCACAAGGGTTGGTTTCTGAACCTATATCTCAAATAAAGATATCTTCTGTATTTTCAACAAAAACACATACAACTACCAAACCCGAAAGAGGAATGTTTATTTTAAAACCTGAAGAAATCAACAGAAAGCTTGTCAATAATAAATTAATGACTGAAATGCCTTCTAGAGAAGAGTGTGAAATTATCAAAGCAACTCAAAAGTATAGTGTATCAGCATCAAACACAAATAACATTTCCACTCCTTCAGATGATGTTTGTATAATTTCTGACGACGAACACGATAGTAGTGACCCTACAGAAAACTGCAATTTTTGGTCTGATATATGGATTGAATGTACAAGCGTTCCGAATTTGGGCTGGATTGCAGGAATAAGAAATTCGAATAATATGATCAGTTATAAATTACCAGATTCCGAATTTTCAGATTTTTATACTGAAGACGAAGCTTTTACAAGGATTAACATGTAAGTATTCCATAAACCATACTTAATTGTTTGAGTTTTCTAACGTTTCATTACTACTGTTGTTTATGTGGAATGTAAAAGTAGGAGATCAGATTCTTACGTAATGTGCTACCGTTTATTGCTTGCCAGATTTGTCTAATGATTGCACCTGTCAAATATTGAACGTCCAATAGTGTGACTTTAGCTAATTTCCTATTGGACGTAGTACGAGATGTTCACACTAGCGCCGTATGGAGGGCACAAATACAGTAGCACCCATTGCGTTTTTTGGCTTACCCAAGTTTAAATTGTGTGCATTAATAAAAACATTGTAGTACCTAACGCACATTTACTCACTTCATTGTATTAATGATATTATGCGTTGTAGGGAATTATGTAAAAGGATAAATAGTCCCCTTGTTGACTTGAAGTGGAAAATTAATGAGTCGAATGGAAAACTGAAAGGACAAGAAATCAACCCTGAACATTTGTATCCGGACTATGTAAGTAGAACATTTTTATTATTAGAATAAAGTACAAAACTTGCATACCTGATAAAAGTTAATCCTTAAATGTATTAGATGTGGGTTCAACGTTGATATTATGGATAAAAAAGAACGGAACTTCATATGAGTAGCAATAGTAGGCAGATATTTTGTAGAGTACATGTACCTACATAGATACACATTTCATGACATTAGGCGGAGCGCTGATTTTTATTTAATAGCCAGCTCTTTTACTTGCGTTCCCGGGGGCTAAAAATTAGCCTATGTATATACTCCAGACCATAATCTACCTCTATTCCAATTTTTTCGGGATAAAAAGTAAGCCCATAATGTTAAAGTATAATCATAGGTACCAAGTTTCATCGTAATCGGACCCGTCGTTTTACGGAAGCTTGAAATGGAGTAACTTCTTCCGTTTTCCCAACATTACCCGTTACTCTGCACACGCTGCTCCTATGCTGCTGAGGAGCTGAGGAGTATGAAAAACAATTGTACCTACCAAGTTTCGTTAAATTCCGTCGAGTAGTTTTAGTTTTGATAATGGTTATACAGACAGACAGACAAAATTTACTGATTGCATTTTTGGTATCAGTATCGATGACGTCCAAATGACGTCCACTTGTGTGAACGAATGTTTCACTACATTGCCTACCAGCAACTCTAGTAATGTCGTTGTTTGACGCAATGTACTGTAGAAGCCACCTGCAGCCAGGTAGCTAGGTCACTATTCCAAGGAGCATTGAGAAGAATTTATCAAAAAACCAGCTTTCCTAAGCATAACTTACCGACCTGTAAATTGTGATGTTCTCCTCAGACACTTACCCAAGAAGGACTGGTACACACAAGCGGTATGTTAAAAAAAGATATGAAAAACATAAAAACGTATTCAAAATCTCAAATGAAAAGCAAAAAGAATATTTCGAAATCCTCCAGTGACATTGACAAGGTAGCTATTAATATCATCATAACAATAATAATTGTCAGTGGGGTCCTATTACTAACAACTAGGTACTTACTTTCTAATTACGTCCAATATTGGTGGAGGGGGTGCTTTTTAGACATTTGGTATAGCTAGCATGGTTAGCTACATACATGGTTTTTAATTTAACTTTAAAATGTATGCTCTCTGGCAACTGCTCTTACCAGCTAGAACTGAACATGAAACATAACAGTTCGAAAACAACGATACCCTGCCTACCTACTTAATCCAGTAGGACGTGCCTTAGAGCTTGTCTTCTAAAGATAAGCAGTTTACCCAATTATCTAGTCACAGCCTCCTGATGGTTTTATTATTATTTCGTTATCTTATGTATTGAAATCCTAAGATAATCGTGAACGGTTCGCAATATTCCCGATGGAAATGTGGGCGCACCGTAATGCAACATGCCATTAACTATCGGTACCTCTAACAGGTACGCGTACGCCGTAAATTTAAAGAACACTATATCAAATGTCTAAAAATAGGTCAGCCGCACGCAATTGTTAATTAACTCTATAATTATTACTAATCCATTTTCTCTTAGGTATTTGCTTATCTAGTAAGTATTAAGTACTAACCAACTGACTAATTGCGCCGCAATGTGGCGTATATTGAAATAATCTTACCTATCTTCCTTCCTACACAATAGTGTAACGTTTATGAAATAAGTCAAGATATCGGACTTAAGTAACTTGTTATAAGTTTTGTAATACGGCAGTGGTGGTGGTGTTTAACATGATTGTGGTAACCTTTTATGAAACATGCAAGTGCTTGATAACCACCTAAGTACCTATTTGTCTTATATCGATGGTATTATTATTTTTGTTTTTGTTAGGTCGATGTGCAGCCAAGAAATGTAGAAAACAGTGAAGCATCCAAAGAACAGCGGCATTGATATTTTGACCAGGACTTTGGAACAAGCTGTTGCACATAATTATGTACTTATTAAACACATTGACTGATTGTTAATTGATGTGAACAACGTAGCAGGTACCTGCCTATTAAGTTGATTGGAAATTTAGAATCAAATTATCTCCGACTCTCCTAAATCGTATTTCGAGTTTAGTCGTTTGTGTACTAGTACTAGACAAGTAAATTAGGTAAGTACCTACGTACGTGAACCGTCAGATTTAAAGTCTATATTATACCTTCAATAGTAATAATCTATAATTAAAAGTTTTATATTTTGAATAGAAGTCCATAGGTACCTATGTGCGTATTCCATTTAGTATTTTCTTTAACACCATTTACATTCTTGAGAAATCGACCCTGTTACATTATAGGTATTTCCTGAACCTGATTTATATGTAGGTAAATAGTTAAATACATGTTTATATAAAATGCATATAGGTACCTAGATACAGGTTGCTTCATAACGAGTGAAAAAATGTTAACGCAATATGTGTACCTGATGAATTTTATAAAATTTTAATAAGGATTTTACATATTGAGTACTACGGAGACAATTTTAACGAGTATTAAGTAAGACCAATGATCATTTTGCATGTTGCTTAATATGTCGGTTAAAGTACGATCGCGGAGCTCGAAGAATTTTGTAATATTACATACAATGAACTTGTTCTCGGATGGACTGAAATGTGACATGTTTCTTTATTTACGGGGTGACGCAAAACACCAATTAACCTTCTTCCTGCCCTTATCTCAAGCTACTTGGGGTTGGCACAATAGGTATGTCTTATATTCCATTATCCCCTGTATCGCATTATTATATAATTAACTTTATTCTCTTTCATATCATTCTTCGCGTAAGTAATGCTCTTTCCTTCCGTTGGTCTTAACTACATTTCTCGATCGCAATCTCGCCCGTTCTTGGTCGAGATTACACAACCAATGACATTGCGGACCGCGATCGAGTTCACTTCGAGAGTTCGATTCGACATCTTGCACAATAGCTTAGCTGTTCTTAATTTGCTGTACATCGCATAATCAACTACAAATATTTTCCGGTTACGCATCTATCTTTCAGTGATTTCCACAGAAGCTCGTGAGAAAGCCATCGACCATGCCATGTGCGTAAAGCAAGTTCTTATGCGCAGCTTCATCTTTTTGAAACACTTATCATAAAAATAAATAAACCATTCGTCACCCTTCCACCAGCTATAAAACATTCTGGCTTTAAATAGTTTTATTCTCTTATATATGTATTCATCTTAACCTCCTTAATTTACTTACGCTCTAACTCAATCACATCACCTTTGCTTTTAAATATAGGTAGGTAGTACTAGCATGTACTAGTAAACTTAGACCATTCGTCAGGTCATCGACAGTCGTCGCATTTATGCGAGCGACATGACATGGAGAGACAAGGCCAGATATAGTAGGTTGTTGTAAAAATCTTCATGCTCTACGACCGTACTTTTATTTTATCTACAATAGATACAATCTCTTCCTCAAATGTTACTTGGCTAACTGTTTTAAACTAAATACTTACCGAATGTTAAGATTTAAATATATATAGTGTTTATCAATTGGCGTGAGATTTATCTGTCAAATACGTGTGTTGTTAGTCAAAATCCTAATTTTAAATAGAAATAGTTTTAGGAAATTATAAATAAGTAGCTGGTAATAATGTTAGTACGTCATGTGTTTAGATAAGACATTTAATTGTAATAACAGCTAAATAAGGCCCATATTCTATCTCGCTTGGAGCTTTAGCTTATAAGCAAATAATTATATTGTAACAGTTTTCAAGTAATTCATGAAGCAATGCTAGAGTACGGGCTTGAATATAGCATTTTGTTGTTGCTAAAACAAGTATCTGTGATATTACGAAATCAACACCTTGCAATAAAGGAATAACTTTTATTTTTTGAAAGTCTGATGTAATTATATGTCTAATCCAATATTTACTTAGTTTATAGTTTGTTAAGATAAACATAGGCCATCTAGGTATGTAGTGTATTTTTAGTAATTTCATTCCTTGAGTGCTGATCTCAAACACGTCCTTTGACCTGCTCGGGGACTGGGAGCAAGAAAATCCTTTCAAAATTAAATATTTTTTTTGTCAATCCATATTTTGTTATGTTAAAACATGTGTTTTGAAATATGGATACGGGCCAAGTGTCAAGCAATCACTAATTCTCCTTCTTATGAGTATATTTAAATATACCAAATACGATTGTGTGAAGTATCTCTAGCTACTTTGTAAAAAAATATCATTTGGAATGGACACAAATTAAAGATATTTTATAAGATACTTTTATTTATTTTTGGCATAAAATAATAATTAAACCTCATTTCGGTAGTTATGTTACATTACAAACATTTTAGTATTCATAATATTACCTTTCAGCAGAAGTTAGGTTCATAAATATATTGATCAATTTTGTAACAGCATAACATTTAATTTTATAACTTAGGAGCATGAATACTCGGGATGTAAGGATGGATGATGCAAGAACTTAAACTGCACCCACTTATCTACAGGTCCTTATAACTGACAAAAGAAAACTTAATACCATTCTAGATATTATTTCCTATACAGAATAACTTAAATATGGATGTAAATTTCACAATTAGTAAAACTTTTCTGTTTGCAACACCTAAATTATTATAGTTAAAGCATAACAGAACCGTTTCCATACAAAGGAAAAAGTTCGGTCTAATGTTGTTATAACATTGTATTGCGCTTAGCAAATTTTTTCAGAATGATATGCATAAATAAATAAATTTGTAACGTCATAAATATAACAAGAGCTATTTATAACCAAAATAGCAAAAAAATACATATTTAAATATAAATCAATTTATATTTTTTAGGATTACTCAAACAATATTTTACATTTGCAACCCTGATTTTAGTCGATATGTTAGGCTATTTACAACATATTATTTGCACAACTAAACATAGAAACTAAGTTCTCCACGAATGACTACTTTTGCTTTTTATTGTTAAAAAAATATATGGACATTAATTGATAATTCATGAGATTACTAGTGTTTACTAGCATATATTTTTTCATGTTCATTCTTTCAACAAATGCGTGTGTATAAACATGTATTGTTTGAATAATTTGTGACAAAATAAATATACCTAAGTAAGTGAATAATAAAAATATATTTTTATGGAAGAAAAAAAAACAGAAACTCGACCTTTTATTAGTTGAATATTTTTTATGAGTCGCCCCATTTCTCAATCTGTGCACTTGGAAAATATATTTAATTTACTTTATTTCATAAAACAAAGATAGCAATGTTAGCTTTCAAAAGCAGCATCATACAGGTAATTAGATACTGAATGCATAGTATTTGAAAGTTTGTATGTACAACTCGCAGCAATTTTTTACCCAATGCACTGCTTGCGAGGGTGTCTAGGTTTAAGGACAATACATATTTACAAAATCCACAAGTTAATATTGCTTTGTGACGGAGTACTTTAATGTCGTTTTCAAAGCTCTACGTTTTGACAACACTTTACAGTAAGTTACACAAGAACGGCTACTGTCTAATATCGAACAAGGAGGGGTGAGCTTGTATGTTATATAATACGGATAAGTACACATCTAAGAACAAACATTCGGCGTCACGGATGCAACTAGCTTCTGTCAGTGGTGGAGGAGCGGCGCACGTTGTTACGTTGCGGGATGACAAACTCGGCGTGGCGCGGCGACGTGAAAGGGTTCGATGACGCGAACGGCGCCGACACCGAGCCCTGCCGCACCGGCGGCCCGCGTCGCGCCGCACCCACCCCGCTCGCCCCGCCAGCCCCGCCCGCGCCTCTGCGACAAGCGTCAGCGTGGTCAGCCTCCTCACCTCTCGGCCCGGATTATTCTCTCCTAATACTTTACAGCACATCGTGGCGGCTCGGCCAACAACGGTTCACCTTGCACCATGACTTCCTCACCTCGGTGCAGTGCCGACGTCCGCTGCTGCAGACAGTTGCCGCGGTGGTAGAGCTGGCGGGGGACCTATCGGCCTTGTTCCTGCCGTTCCAACACGTGGTGGGATCTGTGAAAACAGTGTAATGCGTTACACGATTTTGTACCTTCTAGAACAGTAGCTTTTTCACACAAAACTACTTACTTTAATATTATGCATAGTGTGTATAGTAGATTACATAAAGCTGACATTATTTTTTTAAAGATTACGCACACTGCATTGTTTTTATTAAAAGAACTATAGTTTTAGTAGATATTCTTATTAGAAATAAATTATGCAACGCGAAGTAGTTATCATTAATTATTATTGTATGTTAAAGATTAGACTAAAATGTGAAAACTCACAAGAGGCGGGTCAGGAGGGCGCGCGGGCGCGGCGTGTGAATGTGCTCGCGCCAGGCGTTGGTGAGCCTGCGCAGAGCTGGCGGGGGGCGCGGAGCCGGCGGGGGGCGCGTGTCCAGCAGGGGGCTTGACTTCCTCACCTCGGTGCAGTGCCGACGTCCGCTGCTGCAGACAGTTGCCGCGGTGGTAGAGCTGGCGGGAGGCAGCGCGGGCGGGGGCGGGCGGCGCGGCGGCGGCAGGCTGTCGGTGCGCTGCACGGCAGTGTCTGCGCCGCGTTCGGCCCGGCCGCCGCCGCCGCCACCCCGATCTGCTGGCGGCGGAGAGCTAACAGCTGAAGGCGCGCGGGTCTGCTGTCGCTCAGCCATTTCTCTCGAGACGCTAGGTTCTATCTTTCCAACTGGAGACCTTGCTTCGCTCGTTCTTTTAACGGGTGATCGTTTCTCTACCTGTTTTGTGTGCATGATCGAAAACTTACTTATTTAATAACTACGCCTTTGACTTTAAGAGGCATTTGTTATGGTGTAACAAACCTGTGGGCTGGTCCTCCTGCGTGCGTCGGTGTCGGGTAGAGGGCTGGTGGGGGCGAGCGCGTCATGGCTAGCGGGTGGTACACGTGCTGCTTGCTCTAATATCGCTTTCTTTTGCTCCTGACCAGCCGCGAAGTACGAAAACACACAAAGTACTGCGTAACAAATCTGGTCCGCCTGTAATTTAGATAGTTATTTATTAATATTTGCTTTCAGATCTGGCTTAAATAAGGTAAGCATTGTTATTAAGATAAGTAGGTACCTACTCAGGCTTTACAGTTACTATTAATTGAGATGTGTGTTAAAATATAAGCACCTTTGTATTATGTTAAATGGAATACAAATCTGCGCCTTGTAGAATATCCTGTTATTATGATGGTTAAAGATAAACTTAATCATTTAGGAAGGCATGGGAATAGAAAGCATGCGTGCAGGAAATGAACAAGTTAATGAGCTAACATGCACAAAGCAATAAAACAATACGTGTGTACGTACATCACTGATAATGTAAGGTAAGAGCTATGAAACACAAGGTGTATAATTCAATTCATGTCCACTGGTCTCGACAAAGTAACGGGAAAGCCACAACGAGAAGAAACGATGAAGATCAAACACTACTTTTTCTGCCTACAACATAACATAAAATAATAACATAATAAATCACACCAAAACAAAAAAATAAAACAAAGAAAATGAAATAAAAGTTCTATTTATTAACTCCTAAAGTAGATACTTACCATTACAGACTTATATTTCCTTTGAATTATCTGCCTTGTTTTTGGATCTGTAATAGAAAAAAAAAATGTTAAGTAATATCTGGTCAGTGTATCAGTTGGGTATTTATGACAATCTCAAAAAAGGAGGAGATTCGTATTTCTGATACTTACTAAATTCTTCTAAAACGAAGATACCGCCATTCTGCGTGAAGCATTTTCTAATATGATCCAGCCGCACGAAAAACTGTAACACAGAGTGTTTCCAAGCTTATTTTACAATTAATTATTTTGCTGAATGTAAAATACATTTTGTAACAGACGTGCGCACATTGATTCAACATTAGGCTGAGGTCAAACGAGACTACTTAGGAGCAACACTTTTATCACCCGTTTTATTTTGTCTAAATGGCATTTATAAAATAAACGCAGATAATTTTACGATTCTTACCATGGTAAATACAATAGTTTTTCATAGAAATAAAATGTTTAAAACAAAAAAATAACAGATGAACATTGTAAAAAAACTTTGAGAGATCATATCGGCGGAAGAAGTACCAAATCTCAGCGGGTGCCACGTGCGAATAAGTAGTGCCTACAAGTCACATCTAGTTTCTCTTGTGTGCAAGTCGATGAATATGTTTTTAAAATTTAACATTTTTTTTGTTTTTAGATACTTTATGCATCGAAAGTACCTATTTACTATTTATGCCAAACTGTTTTGCCGCGGGCAAGCTCGGCAACACAATTTTAATTTTGAACACTCCTTTTTTGAGCACAATCATGAAATGGCTTCACCCGCTTTGCGTTATTTCCGTCCTACTAATTTGGTATATTTAGAAAAGCGTTTAATACGTACAAAAATCTATTTTAAAATAATGCTACTGGTTCATCTCGTCTGATCTCAATCCTAATATAATCTTATAAAGCGTTTTTAATTGGCACATTATAGTGTGTAGGCATGTTTATGTCATCATGTCATTTCATGTTTTGTCTCTATTTTATAAACTAAGTACGAGTAAATAGTAGCAATTTGGCATTCTGCCTAACTATTATGTGCAACAATCAGAAAATAATTCAATAGTTGGGTGAGTTAAGTTATTACTCGAGGAATCCATTGACTCCCCGCCAATGTAATAACAAACATATTATTATATTAACATAAAATGTAAACAAATATTTGCTGGGTAAATATAGCATGGAAATCATATAATACATTTACTTGATAATATTTACACAATCTATAGACACTACTTTCATGCTTTCTAACATCTATATAAGAACAATGTAAGCATTAGGTATCTACACATACACAAGAATAAAATGACAATAGTAAAAAATATCAGCATTTATTTGTTGTTGTATTAAACCACAAAACAATGTTCCATACAAAAAAGTCAATAAATAAATACTGGTAGTTCTTTACCTTCCTGTTTGATTTATTTTTTTAACTTATTAATTATAGCGCAAAAACAAAAAAAGTCATGCAAATACATGCATCCGAGGTTTGGAGCTCAATAAAAAAAAGTCATATAACAACCCGCTCTTGTCTATTGTTCATCGGTTAGTGTATCGTTTATTTTCCGAGTGCAAAAACCATACATGCCAATTTATTAAGTTTTATCCTGAAAATGAAATTGTTTCAAGTCCAGTCCGATCCCGGTAATCATCGGATTTCGGGATGAGAATGGCATGATTCAGTTTTTGCAGGTGAGACATCGAGCAGAGAGCGAGGTGAGGAGTGGGCGGGGCGAGGGCAGGGCGGGAGGCGGGAGTGCAGTGTGCGAGGTGCGAGGTGTGCGAGGTCAGGTGCGTGCGGGAGGGAGCGGGTGCGGGTGCGGCCGCACCGGAACTTGTGAGATGGCGAATGCTCTACGACTGACCTCGTGACTCGCGTCCGTTAAGCTTTAGCGCTGACGGGACGCTCGCTATGGTTCCAGGTGATAAGGGGACGTACGAACTAAATCTCGGCACATAGTGCGAGAGCGAAAAATCGAGACCGCTCGCCGGACGATCCACGATACGAATGCAAGCTGTCGGGTGCGTTAATATAAACAGATAATAAACAAAGGGCGTCTATGTGCATGCACGACTGCGCGCTTCGGCGCTCGCCGCACTCGGGAGAACTAATACAACGCTAACAACGGCTAAAAACAATCTGTAAGCCTCAAAACTACAAGTAAAGCCCTACGACCTCGAACGATCATCGCTAGGTGCGATTCTCACGGTGACCGTGACTAAATCTTAAAGGTCGTAAAGGTCGTGTCGATCATCGTAAGAGCCAGCCATTACTATGAATGAACCACTGTGTACCTCGAAATCCTTTTGCGCAGCGGCGCGTGTTCGGCGTGTCCGGAGAGAGTAAAACAGACAAAAAGATGAGATTAGTTGGCGGCCGAGCGCGTGTCAAGGACCATCTCAAAAGTTCCTAGCGAGAGCTCAGCGGCGCCCACGCACTCCAGCGATGTACGGGGATTGCAGACAAATAGCACATGCACAAGTCGTATGGAGTATAAGAACGTATATCAGATGGACAACGGTTAGTCTTAAATGTAAAAAAATAATCTAAACTATTACATCGAATAGTAGATAAGGATATTTTAAGGGCAAAATACTGGGTCTTAATTAGACCTAAGCTTTGTCGACAATAATACGGAATTAGTAAATGCAAAATCACCTGAATATCAAATAAAATAAATAAGATATAGGTTTATTATATAAATATAATATGATAAAAATATTAAGAGAAAAAATCGAAGAGAAATCCAAATAGGAAAGTTTGAGTGGTCCTTGCGTCCGGATAAGTTTTATGAGGATGAGAGATTTAAAACTAGGCATTATATGGGGCATCGACTTAAAAATATAACTATACTTGTTTACTGTATTTGTTAATGAATAAGTTAAAGTAGTTATTCTTTTGTGCCTGTTAATTGATAGAAGGTAGATTTGTCTTGTTGGATAGAGAAGCTTCATATACGGTACGATAATAACAACGCGCGAACGGCACCGATACAATACTGATACAATGAAGCATTGGCAGCGCGGACGCTGATGTATAGACTGTCGTACTGCGCGATCGTACGACACTACATTCATAATTTACTCACTTGTATAGAAACTTTTTCCAAATCAAGCATGAACATTGACAGATACCTTACCTGGCAAACGTATATGATTATACCAAAACTAGTTGTATGCAACAATACTCCGTTCAAAGTTTTGGCACATCATTTTGATAACTTATTATTTAAATAACATAAACAAGCTGACAAAAATAAATGGACACACAAACGAAGCGTAGGTACGTACCTTGCTGTGGTGGAACAGGAGTCCGACGCCTTCCATGCAAACCTTTATAAGTCAGACTTGTTAGTATACCTCATATTTTGTAATGATTGTATTTTTAATGCAGATAGAAGAATGGACGGCTCGGAAATGTAAATATTTTTCTTCAAAATCAGCACACCAAAATTTCCTCACACACCCAGATTCTAAACAACTAATTTAGCGTATAAAAAAATTATTTTTTTCGTTCTGGAATCGAATCCAACGACCCTATAAAAAAAAGATTTTTTTCTAATAACCGCGTCAACTGCCCCTTGTCTTGAGTTGTGTCCTTAATACAAAACTTTATGTCAGGTCATTCAGATAAGAATGTCTTGCGACAGTGAAATGTTATACGTCACCTGTATCAGCCCTCCTTCCCCAGTAGCGCAGTCTTGTATGGGGAACTCCCCACCAAGCTCGGCCGCATCCTGCCGCCGTCCACTCTTCTCCATGGCTTCCTTGATGCAGTAGTACAACGCTTTGCACTGCAATCATGAGGTAGTCTTTCAATTATTATACATTCAGATATCAGATTTATGATATCATGTACAAATAGTTAATTGGGCTTAATTGGTAAATTTTAGAAGCACTAGTGTAGCTAGCACGAAATTGAAAGACAGATCATAAGTGTAAGTACCTACTATAGAACAGTTTATATAAGACTTCAAAAAAAGGATGTTTTCAGTTAGACCTGTATGTTCGTTTGTGCACGTATAACTCGCGATTGGCTGAACCGATTTTGAAGCGGTATTCAGATAAGTGTTTGTTACACTTAGGAGAAGGTGTTAGTATGTTAATTAACCGACTACAAAAAAATAAGAGGTTAAAGTCTGTTTTTTTTTTTAAATAAAAGTATTATTATAATTTTTAAAAAGACCATTTTTTTTTTTCGTGTAATATTTGTGGAGTTGCGTCTGGCCCCCGTTCTTCCTCCAAAGGCACAAAACTCGTATCTTCGGACTATAAGTCATGTTGACCAGTCTTTCATACCACCACCTCTCCACGATGGTACCTGGAATTGCAGTTCAAAGATTTTCTTAGTTACCCGGGCCTTGTTGATGGTTCTTAGGGCCCGCAGACTCGAGTAGCCAGTAGCAGCGCGACAGTCGCCGCGTCGCGGGTCGCGAAATGCTGCTCATAAATATGAGCCTCTAGCATGGCTTGAAACTAGTCAAGTTCCTCGTCAAATAAATACATGAGTAAGCCGAAAACATAATAATTTATTTATTATGTCTCACGAAAATTATAATATAGAAAAATGGTAAAGTGTATATACTTAATTAGGTAGAATAGAATGTTTTGTGGAAAATCAATTTATCTGCCGTCTGTAGTAAAGGAGTATACCTTGTGTGGAGCGTAAGATGAGACCGTCGTCTCGCACCTCCATGAACCGCAGCTCGCCGGCCGCGTCGCCCTCGTGGACAGTGAACGACGCGCGACGCAGTAACCGCGACCCTAGTGGCTTCAGCTCTATGTCGTTGCCATGCTGCGATACATCACACAATATTACTACCTTTTTTATATCGCATACTACGTATAGTATCCATTACTAAATTTAATTAATCTCTTCGAAAAACCTACGTTTAATTATTTTATTGAGCTTTACTCAATGGATTTTTTTTATAATTCACTTATGTAGATGGTAAACTGGACTGGATGGACTTAAAACCACCCCGTTCTTAATCCTGCACTTCGAGCCGGAGCCTCGGTAACCTGTTAATTCCTCCGCGGCAGGTTTAGTATAGATTAGATTTACAATGCCTCACAGGATCTGTCACTAGTAACTTACCAGTGTATGCACGACATCGAGTAGATGGTTGACCTCCTGGCTGTAGACGAGGCCGATGTGACTCTTGGCGAGCAGACGGCGCACCTTGTTGCGGACAGTGTCGGGCTCGCCCCCCAGCAGTACCATGGCGGCCGTCAGGTTGTATAGTGCCGTAGACAGTAATCTGTCCTCCTCATGCTCGAGCCGCTTGCGCTCCGTTTCGCTCAGGCACTTGTACCGCTCCATCATCTCATTGGCACCCTGGTCCATGCCGATCATATCCCGCTCCTGACTCACCGCGTCCAAAAACGCGTCCTCCCAGAACTGCATTTGATCCCAAAGATTTGATCTCTCCTTACCTGGAATTTGGGAAGAAAATAGGAATATTAACGCCTATATACCAAAACACGCCCATAAGAATTGTTGCTTTTTAGTAATTAAAATTTCGCATATTATTTTCTATCTTCTAAAATCTTAAGAATGTAAACAGAGGAATCTTGAGATAATACCAATGAGTCCCTGATAGAGATATGTCCGAGTGGTATCAGGCGAAGTGATGGGCGAGGTGACGGGCACGCCGACGGGAGGCCGGTACCCGCTGACAGAAGACTTGGACGAGAACACACTGGCCGCGCGAGGTTTGCCACTCGCTCCTTGCATGCCGCGGTTCACCTAAATTAACCACTCACATTATAGTGTTCATAAGTACCTACCTACGTCAATACGTAGATAACATACAAGTAAACAAATGGAGTGACCTGATTATGTGGTAGATAAAAAATGTCATTACCATCCCATGTCCCAAAACAATGATATTTTTTCACTCTCTCCATAAAAGTAGATTTTGTTAAAAATACATAATGTTAGTGAACCAGTTCATTAGAATGAAACATTAACGATACAATAATTTATTTGTTGTTTATTTCTCCATTTGTTTACTAAGCCGTGCCAAAAACATTATTTCGTGTCAGTGAATGAGCTAGGAGCTAGATTTCGCTGTGCGTTCTATTTTTTTCCAAAACTGTTTATTCTTGGTTCTGCATTAAATACATGTAGTTTTTAGATTAAATATTTTAGCAGAAATGTGCCTATTTAATTTTTTACTTATTGAAACTTAAATACCTGCCTACTTTTTGTAAATTATGAGATAAGTTCTACAGTAAACTCTGATTTAATTATTTATGTCTACAGTAAACATGTACCATGCAAATCTATTTACTGCAGCTCTAGCCGTGAATGCAAATTTTGAGTAAAGTATTCCAATAGTTCGGCTAGTTGTTTTTTTCTGTGTACAAGCTCTGCTGATCTAAGACACTCAGACGGGTGACTACAAATGGCACTAGGACTTACATTGAGGAACATGACGTCAGTGTCAGAGAGGTTGGACTTAAAGGAGGCGCGGTGGTCGTAGATATTGGCTCGGTTGGTGGTGATGGAGCCGCTCTCGTCGGCCGAGCAGTCGGACGAGGGAGGGGCCTGTCACGCACACAAACAACCCGCCTGTACCATGTCTCATCTCGCTTTACACAAGATAAACAGCACACCGATAATCTATCAACTTTAATTCAAACGATCAAAATATTCATAAGTATTTTTGAGTTTTAAAATTACTTTTACAATAGATATTAATGAGGGCTGTTGATCTTTGTGGCGTGCTTTTTGGTATAGTCATGAAACATGTTACATTTACTTACAACTCCAACTAGCATGTTAACTAATATTTCGTTACATTATTCTACGACATTAATATTATAGTAGGTAGGTACGTACTTAATTACTTATGTTACAGAACCATGCAGGAACAATACAACATACCTTATTCTTATAATTTACCAAAGAAAGTCACAATAAGAATATGTGTTAGTGTACTTAAATTTTGAAATTATATATTTTTTGAAAGATAAGTGTGGATGTATCGGTAAAGTAGAGCTGAAAATAGAAATAGATATAGCAACAGAGATCATCGTTTTAAGCACAAAGGAAAAAGTGTTGTACTTGTTTTTCAATAAGGACATACTTATTTGCGAAAGTAATATAAGAACATAATTAAATAGACACCAAAAAGGATTTGTTTGTACTGGGTCGTCAAGCAGTCTTACTCCATTGTACAGCTGACATGCTCGAGATCTTCAAGAGGAGATTTATATATAGACATTGAGTTACAGCTTCCACATAGATACATTTAGAGCGACAAGAACATGCAACAGTTTCGCAACATTGAGTAATACACTTAAACATGGATTCTATACTTACATCTGAGTCGAAAGATGTCAACTTGCTGAAGAGTAAGTTTCTCTTCTGGTTCAGCATGTCTTTGAACATTTCCGTGGTACTCTGAGCTTCAGATGAATCCATTTCTGGATAGTTTACTACCGGTACATCTAAATTTACAAATGGATTATGATAGACTTTTGGTCATGCTGTCTAATTTCATACATGAGAAATTTAAAGAGAATTCATAAAGTCTCAAAGTAAGTAAGTAAGTTCTTGGTAAATAATATGATTACTTGATAGATAATTATTGTAGTTTTTATATTACGTCGGTTTCTGGGAAATGTCTAGTCTGTTCCTAATCCAATACTAACCAGATTGTGAGCTTTTTCTCGATGAGGGAGAAGACGATGGCGTTTCGAGGTCCTGTCTTCCATAATGTTCCATGAGTGCGGAGCCAGCCATGCCTCCGTGCTCTAAGCCAGCGATTTCTTTGCTCCAGTAGTGAGTGTGGGCCATCTCAGCTAGTTGGAACACGGAGGCCATGCCGCCCAGACCGAAGTTAGAGTACGTGTGCTCAAGGCCATGCACTACTGCCTGCAGCACCTTTAGCATTCCTTTCCATACCGGCTTGCTCACGAACTTTGAGAAATAAAAATCATGTCATAAAATTGATCTCTCTTAATATCAACTAACTTACTTCAGCTTTAATGATACTTACCACATCATCAACTTTGTCGTTGGGCGTGGTCTTCCTGTTGAAGTTCCTATTAAGTTTGCTCAACACCATGTTTCTATAAGACTCGTCTTCCATCAACTTCTTCAGACGGTTCAATTTCAACCACCCCACACCCTCACCTTCCAGCACATGTTGGACTAACTGTAATATTAAAGTGCTCACTTTGAAATATATTATTCGTAAGAGTAACCTCGATACAGATTAGCAGAAACTGCCGTCATAATATTAATGAACAGGACGAAAGGAACGATAAACAAAATACTTGTTTGATTATTGCAGGTTATTAAAGAGGTTTGCTTTCATGTTTGGATACATTTTAAATTATGTAAAGTATAATAATGCCTTACATCATTGAGGAAAGCTTGGTTTTCAGTGTTGGCAGAGGGGCGCGAGTGCGGGGGCGCAGCCGGGGGCGCGGGCGCCGAGTGACGGATCAGGGGCGAGCGAGCCACCAGCCCGCGCGCTCCCATCGAGAACGGACCGAACGACGCCGCCAGCGGGGCGCCGCCACTGCCGCCGCCTGCAGTACTTGCGGGGCCGGATGCACCGCGACCTTGCTCGCCTGGCTTAGGCTGCTTAGCTCCTGTGGATTGAAATCCATCGTTGCACACTTTCATGGTCTATTTACTTGCTCAAAGTCAGTTCGAACACAGAATACCAAATAGGTACCTATGGCCCTTTTCATCTTTATATCCTCTTGATATCTTTTATTATTTTATGGAAACTTTGGAAACTAAATAATCGTTGCACCTACCTTTATTTCCAAAGAAGTCACTGAACATGCTGGAGGTGGACGCCGCCAGACCATTGAGATCAGAACTGATGTTGGAGAAGAAGTCACGGTGTGTAGCTGTCAGTAAGTTGGTGGTCTGTAACGCTGTGGAGTCGCGGCGACCTGATGTACTGCCGTTTGAGTCTTGGCTTTCACCCTACGATAGCAACAAAGAATTCTTATGAGGACTTACTAAGTATAATTAAATGCAAATTTGTTACAGCTGAGCACTTATATTAACTCTTTGCACCACTCTTTTTGTTGTACGAGATAGAAGAATTTTACCTTCATCAGTAGTCCCTTTTTGGCGGCAGCTTCTTTCGCGCTCTTGGTAAGATCTCCCAGGGTGGATTTGCCAACATACGTGAGATCTTCGAAAGTATTCTTACTGACTGCTGTGGCTGTTTTGCTGGCCTCTAACGCAGATTTTGACGCTTCATGCATACTCTTCGAAGCTTCCTCAGCTGCTTTTTTCGCATGCAATGTAAGCTGTCAAAAAGTAAGAAAAGAATTAGAGAACTTTCCAAATTCTTGTATTCAAGATTGTAGCAAGAATAATTTACGTCAAAACTTCTTAATATGTATAATGCTTACATGAAAAAAATAAATAAATAAGCGGTTCAGGTTGGACGGCTTTCAGTCTACTGATTATTGAGTACCTTATTTTTACTCACTATCTTAAAATTGGGATATACTATGCAGTGATTGTAATGAGGCAGGAAGAGACTGGATAAGGCTTATGGCTATATCTATTGCTAGCGTATTCCTCGATAGTATTATACAACATGTTGAGTCAGTCAAGCTACCCAAGCTGCTAATGTTACAGTCTACAGTCTGTGTAAGTATGTGTATGTGTGCAGCTTCTACGGTCTGTTGCTTAGCTCCACACGGTGATCTATACCTGACCGAATGGCGCAAACATTTTCTTTTCCTCTCCATCTGCTACTTTTCCTTTCTTCTTAATTGGTTTGATTAAGTAACAAGTAGTGTTAAAGATAAATTAAAACATCGATCAACAGTACACAAATGAAGGAACATAAAGGAAACACAACAAGGAAATAGAATTATTTGGTGGCTTGTGTCTCACCTTGTCCATATGTGCGAGCAGTCCCTCCTGACTGCTCTGTCGTGTTGTCTCCCTCACCAGCTCCTTGGCCTGCGCGGCGAACTGCTCCAATAGTGACGACTGTGACGCTTGACGGGACACGCCACTGCTTACGCTCTACAATTTATGCAGATATGATTTTATGGGGGATCACCATGTTATTGAATCCAATATTTAAAAAAGCGCAATGTGTAGATTGTATCTGAACTATTATAACTAAAGATTACTAATCTTTTAATAACACAGAATATGAGGGAGACCATTCTCTCTTATGTCAGTACATAAGTTGAGTTAAAATAATTTATTAGTTGTAATTATGCAAATTGTGCAATATTTTATGATTGTTAAGAATGCAGATGGTTAAGAATAATCATTATATTTTTTACGGCTCTGTGTTTTTGAAAGCCCAAGTTTCACGAACCGTGTTGTTATGGAAAAACAGATACATTTATTGGGATCTATTAGCATGATAAAAATGGGATTGGTGATGTAGCATACTTTGTGTTGCGAGTGGTGCAGCGAGTGGTGCGCGGGCGCGAGGTCGCAGGCGGCGGGCGGGCGCGCGCGCTCCACGGTGCGCGGCGTCGTGGTCGAGTTGGAGTCCGACTCGCGGCCGAAGCTGCCGCTGTCCGTGTCCTACGTGCGCGGGATTAGCTTACACAGTGCGTAAGGACACACACGAAGCGAGGCGAGATAATTCACTTCTAAGGTTACTAATTAATAAATTTAATTTTGTATCTGTTTTCCATTAAAGCTTTCACCAAGCAATTATCTCGTCTTAATGGCTTTACTATAAATTAGCATTACAATAACGTCACCTTATAGCAGAGAAGGGCTGACTGTGTATTTCATAATTTCAGTCTGATTACTTTTGCCTCAACCTCAATTACATTGGTAACAATGTTGCGAGTTGTATTTCATTGCAGTGCAGTGATATTTGAGCATTTGTGATGATTAGTAGCCATAACTAAACCTCAAACTTATTTACTTGCAGGTGATTTTAAACACAGTGGAACCACACATTTTTCAATAAACAAAAAAAAACTAAACAAACGTACCAAAACCATCTACAATTCTGATATAAACTTACGCTTTTCTTGACGGGAGGTGTATGAGTATCACTGGCTTCTACAGCAACATCTCCAGGAGCCTCGTCATCAGACAGGTCGCTATGGTCAGAGCTAGACGCGGACGGGGAGGGGGACGTGGAGGCTCGACCTGTGTCCCTGTGGCCAACCTCCTCCTCGTTACCGAACATCAGTGACGAAGGCGGACTGTATACCTGGTGTAGAACGATAAAATTAAGTTCTTATTGTAACAATTATAAGGCACTTTTTGCTACGGTTAGTTTGAAAACCAGTTCTGTTAAGCTTGTCTTGAGTGAGCTTGGTAGGGTGCTTAGTTATTTACCGTTTTAGGATCCAATGATGATGATAACGTCATCGGTACTTGTACGACAGCGCTGTACGTCTCTCCAATAACGTGCTGATGTTGATTGCCACCTGCACACAAACACACGGACGTTGAAGATATTTTTTATACGATTCAGAACGATAAAACAACACAAAGAAACTAAGTATTGTAAAATAAACTAACCTGGAGAAAGATCTGATGAAGCCATCTCCGATACAAAGTCACTAAGTGACGAGTAAGACGAGCTCGTACTTTCTGCAGCCTCCGAGTCTGAACCACTTTCATCTACATAGAAGGAAACGGTTATTAAATTCATTCATTTATCTGACAACGACATCAGTTTTTAGTATTAGTGTTTAGACATTCCAAACCTGTGGGTTGGTTCTCCTGTCGCTGTAGTTGTCTGAGTGCGCCATTGAGAGAGCTCCCGTCGTCCCACACGGGGAACCGGATGGGCTGCAACTGGTCGGCGAACCACTTCGGCTTGTCCCCCACCTGCCTCGGGTCGAACACCCCTGTCTGAACACGTAGGAACGCTACGTTGCCCGGAGTTAGAGACCACTCCGCCAAAAACTCTACTGCCTATAAGAAATAATACAATTTGTTTGAGAAACTGGTATCTGTGAGAAATTAAAGGTCGATATAAAGTTGACAACATACTTGTGTTCTGGCAAATTTGTTCAAGAAGGAAGTGGTCCTCGGTCGTGATCGCAGGAAGCTGTTTATCTGGAAGGCAACTACAGGTCGCGGGTACAGGCGCAGTGTTCGTGTGTGCTCCATGAAATTCGCCAGAATGTTTTGTGAGTTGAAAAATCGCACCTGCAAAGATGTTAATATGTTTTGTAAAACGGTCTTTGATTGAAATTGCATATCACAGTAAAATACATATCTCTTAACTAGTTTTAAATACGCTTTTAGGAAATAATTGAAATTCGGGAACATCACTCTTTGTTCCTTAAGACAAGTACATTTACTTTCCTATATTGGATCTTCAAAATTCCAACTCACCATAGCAACTCTAGTAGCAATATCAACGGAGTCTACATCGTGTCCGTAGATGAGTGGGTTGAAGGGCTGTGCCTGTGTGTGGTGCGGCGACGCGAGCGAGTGTCGTTGCGGCGTGTGTCCGGCGCTGGCGGCGCCCGGCCCGGCGCCGGACACGGACACGCGCCGGCTCTCCGGCGTGCTGTGCGGGGCCGACTGCGCGCCGTCACTGCCGCGGTACGACGCCGGCTGGACTCTGAGCATGGAAAATGTACACTATATATATAAACCTTCTAAAATACCGAATCTAAAATCACATCCATATTTTAAAACCGCATCAAAATTCATGGCGTACTTTTGAATGAAGTGATTACTGCCATGTACGAGTAGGCTCAAATCATCGAAAGTTCACGAATTTCTTTCTTGCAAAGTTTGAACGGTCTATTGAGGATCAGCAGAAAAAAATGTGTAATGTGTTGTGTAAAAGGGCAATGTGTTCTAAAATTGACTCGTAGATTGGCAACAAATCGGTATTTACTTTGAACTCTAAATATTGGAAGGCTTGCTTAGTTTAATCAGTCTACATTTAGGCTACGTTTCCATTGAAGTACCCACTTCAATTACCATTTGAATGACAATTTACATCGCGAGATCAGACGGTAAATTACAGGGTGTTGTAAGGTTGTCTGGTGAGACACTACAATGTACTTACTTGAGTGTAGCCCCGCCCACACTGTCTCGTCTAGACGGCATCAGTGGCGCGGCAGCCTGCTCCGCCGTAGTACTCGTCAAACTATTCAGAGCCTGCCAGTATTGTTTGTAAATTAAAATCAAATATAACCACATCTTAAAATAGTTAAATTTACAACCCACGCATTATCTGTACATGATATTTAAGTTTAAAAGCAAAATGTACTTGACGCTTCAAAAAGATATAAAATAGCAAATATTTACTCAAATTCTAGGCAAAATGTCCAAAGTATTTCTATGTTATTTAGTGTAGCAAAAAACAAAGTACTCAAGTTTCATTTGCAAGTTAATCTACTCATTTTAAAAAGTTCAATCGTACAATTGCATTTACATAGTATTATAATTAAAATTCTACTTAAGAAATAGGTAAGTATAAGTTAGTAGTGTAGAAAGCTGCACTGTTTCACAATCAGCGGTAGCACAATCACAAGTCAGGCAAATCATGCCGCACACAAACACAAGACATAGTCATTCCACTCCAGTCGAAACAGTGTTACAGTCTGATGACATTTAAAACAAAACAAAATGAAGTTGGAAAAGAAATGTTTGGACCTGGGCAACTAGGAACTGTGTAGTAGTAGACAGTAACACGTATTTCTGGTGAATACTTGGTAAGTAAATGTGCCAATGTATCAACGGCTTTTCTTATCATTGGTTCTTACATAAAGCCAAATTGTTGTGTCCAATATGAAACATTTTCTTTTAGAAATTTCAGTTGTCAGAGCCAGTGACAAGAAAAACAATAAAATAACATTCGATATAAACAAATAAATATGTAAATAGATATAATTATGTACCTATATAGTACCTATACTAACTTCAGTGTCATGTGCAAGTTAGCTGTAAGTATCGTACTAAATCGGCACAAACATATATAACGGGTAAATATGTCGTGAATAACAAATATAGTCAAAGTGTGCAATGTAAAAAGAGTATTGATATTTACACCACTGCCGGTACTGCCCATGAGATGCACGGCCTAGCGTCAGGAGAGAGAAGTGAGGGCGTGTTAGTGACACAAAGGAAAACAACAAAATAAAAGTAAACAGAAATCCTCGTAATCTTCAAACATGCTGTATAGGAACTACTTTATTCTCTTCGTAAGATTAAATATTTTGTCTGACATCAAAGTAAATAACTATTTTCGTAGTAGAAGAGTATTGTTTAAAAGTTATCGCGATTGAAAAGTATTAAGAGTAAGGTGTAAATTGATAAATAGGTACCATCGTATAACAGTCACGATACTCGTCACAACAGCTTAGCGACATCGATAAAAATGCGCTCACAAGTGCAAAGTATTAGAGAAAGTTTAGGTGACAAGAGAAAAAAGTTCTATGTAGACATGAAAAAAAAACATTCAGAGAAAAATGAAAACAAAGTGAGATATTTGAATTTGTACCTGCTTCAAGTGATTCTTTAGGACCGAACCTTCGGGTTCGGGTAATGGTGGCAAGTCTTGGTCGGTTCCAGATGGACATATTAATTTTGTGGCATCCAAATCCACAAGCCAAATATCATCAGGCATCCTGTGAAGAAGGAAAATTATTAGGGATTTCGAAACTACCTTTTTTTAGAAGGTAAAAAGGTTTAAAGACGTTATCTATCCTTTTTACCTGAAATTCTTCTTATATGTGAGAAACGTGGCTGGTATTCCAATAAGGAAAGGCGTAGGAGCCAGTAGCAACTGTTCGGCGCAGCTCATACAGCTCGGCAGGAGTGGTATGGCCGGGAACATGTACTCCAGCGGGTACAGCATGGCAACCAGGGCCATCACTGACATGGATAGCGCGTTGTAGTCCCGGGATTGAACCACCACTTTATTCTCCAACAAGATTAATGTTAGGACCTTCAGACATGTGTCAACACCTGTAGGATATATATATATAGTGTTAAAGTTAAATACAAGAATGCAGTTTTTGTTCCTTAAAATAGAACAAGCCTCTGCTTCATCATCTCTGACTCTAATAAAAATTCGGTTAGTTTAAATAATGTGACGAAAATCTGTCGGATATATTAATAGAAACTTAATCAAAGATAGTGAGATAGGCCTGAGATAAGACACCAAAGTCACTTGCCTAAAAGTTCCAATGGTAAATGTAAAGGAAAGTCGACGAGTGTAAATCTTGTATGATCCGGCAATGCAAACAGTAGCGGTGAGTGAGCCGTGGGTGACAGTACTTCCAGCTCGAGCCTCGTCTTCCCCGGCACCGGTACAGGCGCCGACAGAAGCCGCAGTATCCACGTCTCAATCTCTTTCACATCGTGCAACACTATCGTCGGAGTGTTGTCGTATGCTTGGCCAGTCAACACCGACCATACCGTATCTCTAAACAACATAAATATATTCTTGTTACGTAGTATTAAACTCCCGTTGGTAAAATATCCGTCAAAAATACCTCGACTTAAAAGAACTTTGTTTTTGCATGTTAGCCTTGCTATGAAGTTAATCCCACTGTTGTTAGGTACATAAAACTGTAGTAAACCGAAAAACATCCTCTCATTATTATATCAAGGTATTAAGCTCCAGGCTACATCCTAATAAAGCCAAAACATTTTTGTTATCCCTTTGTGAATAAAGTAAATGTCGGTAACGAACCGCAAAGATAAATGACGTAATTTTATTGGATATAACATTAATTAATTAATTTTTGAATGAAATGGTACATAAAGGGAATACGAAAAAGTTTTTGCTCGATAATAAGTATTTACCTACCCACATTTTCAATTACCATTATGTTCCACTAGTTTTTGTCTGCGGCTTGAAGTTAATTAATAGACAGTGCTTAGATAGTACCTAATTTGAATGTATATTACATCTTACCTAAGAATTTGTCTTGACGCACCGACACGTCGTGGACTGGAAGACTCGTTGCATGCATCTATCAATTTTTTTAGGATAAATAGGCACTCTCGGAATGTGGAGAAGAATGGATGATGTGAAAGCAGGCACAGTGAGGTTAGAGAATGGTTCCTTATTCTCTGAAACAACAATTTATTTATATTAATATTTGTTAATTTTGTGATAAAAATGTTGGTTATGGATTAAGGCCAAAAGAAACATTTTCCTTTACCTGCCGCTTTCTCGTTGCCCTCGGGCTGGGTGAATGTGAGTGCGAGCCTCCACTCTCGGAGTCTGGAGCTGGCGCCAGGCGCGGCGCTAGTGTCGCACTGCAGTCGCGCTCCGAGTCACTCGGGGCCACGTTGCTGCTCCTATAGTCACTGGAACATTCGCTACGTCTTAGTCTAAGCTCAATCGCTTATAAATTGCTTATTGAACAGAAGACCTAGTCACAAAATCAATAATTACCTCTTGAAAGAACCTGTACTTAAAATGTAAAATAACTATCTATGCATAAAGTCAAGTGTCTTATAAAATCTTAAACATTCTAACTATCTGAAATAGTTTATGTTCACCTGGAGAATGCGGAGTCTGAACTTTTCTCCATGGACTTGCGCCAAGACTCGCGACGTAGCATGCTACGCTCGCGAGGGCCCGGGGCTTGCGCGCGCTCCACTGCTCGGTAGAAGTTGACGCAGATGCCGAAACGAGTCTTACCTGATAGAATATTTGTATGTTAAAATGCTGAATGACCGCAAAAAAAAACAAAGGAAGAAGATATTAAATAGTTATATTCACCTGAGTCCTTATCAGTAAGTTGAAAAACAAATGAGGTGGTATCCCTGGAGGCCAGGTGGCCGGGCGCCCGACGCGGCCCCACGGACACACACCCCTCTGGCTGGCAGAAATACACCATATCCAAAGGCAGGGGGAAATCATCGTGATTGGTTAGTGGGTAGCGGCGCAGAAGTTCAGGAGCCTGTACAATACAAACTAATAGATCAGTAAATGAGATCTACGAGCGTCTCGTCCTTTGCGAATCCCTTGAGGATTTACTGAAGGTTTATATACATATGTACAATTGTACATAAGTACTGACTATCATAATATTGTGAAAAAGGTATATATTTTGAAGGATCGTGTTAACAAGTAAACAAGTCATTAATTGGCATCTACCATTTTGTGCTTCAAAGTAAACAGATCGAGTTTCGATGTAATTTACAATAAATGTTGACACTATTCTAATTTGATTTGAGTTACAGACTGTTACTATGAGAAAATTTATTGATCATAAATCGAATCAACAAATTGTGACCCTCTATTTACCAAAATAGTAGTATGTAAACATGGGCTCACCTGTACGGGGGCAAGCCCCTTCCCCGATGTATAAGGTTTCGCTCCGACGATGGTTAAATAATCCACCAGTCGCGGACATAGGTGCTGCTTCTGAATGTCCATATTTGTACAGGGTTCAAACTTAAATGTTTACATAAGAGTCTTCTCGAACCCATCATAAATTAATAATATATTGCTTGTCATAATTATCACTTTATATGAATATGCCTGGAACAGAAACGAAACGAATACGTAATGGAATACTCCTCTTCTTGCTATAAGAATAAATATTATAACTGATTATAGTCGAAGTGCCCCACAAGTTCCCGTGAGAGTTACCTAATTAGGTCATACGATAGCAAAGAGCTTAATGAGTAGTACGTACGAGAGTCGCTATTAAGTCTCCCTACACACCGCTGTTGCTTAATGAACAACGTAGTCTCTGGAAATAGGTTAGTATCACACTACCTCTATTATCATTCAAGGTCACACATAATGCAGCACATCCCTCCTACACACTCGCCCACGTTTCAAATATGAACGTAGTGACGCAAAAAACGTCCTAAATTAAGTACATTAAAACTGAAATCACAATGCTAACATTACAAGCTGTTATTGATTTAAGGTAGTCAATACAAATGAATGTATAGCTGTACCGTGACCCCCGGGTCCCCTTGACCTATTTATTGCCTTGACATGTTTCTGAGGGGTGCTCGCTCGGGGCAGCAGGTAGCGAACATTCACAATCCCAGTTGCCTATAAAAGCACCGCAGTAAAGAACCTTCATAAAGTTTATTCATTACACGACTTAATGAACAGAGAGATTAATGTGAGGCATTACGTGCCTTCAAGGATATTGAAACGCGTTCTTTAGCTAATATGATTTATTAATACAAAAAACTTTTCTTGTATCAACTTAGATAACGTTGACATAATAATCATTAGAACTTTGGAATAGATTATTGATCTGCTGAACTGAACTATCAACACACCAACGAATAAATAAAATAGGCGTGTAATACAAATTTCTTTTTCGATCCCTTCGTAACTTACGCGTGGAAGAAACCAATATTGTGTTATATCTTTTATAGATACTTGTATGAGATTCCCAACACATTGACACTCCATATCTACATACAACATCTAAAATGAAAAAAGGTAGAGAGTTCAACCACCTATTTTCTGTGTTCAGTATTTACCTGCTCAATATTTCACACGAAGGACGAACCGACATTTACTGAATGTCAAATAAAGTGCTACCTAAGTAAATAGGTTAAAACGTGTTCAAAGTGTTTATACCTGACACAGTCGTAGTAACTATAAACGTAGTTTTATGCCCTTGGCCCATAATATTGCTTTATCACGTAAAAGTGCTGATTTATGTTGATAACATAAACGGAAATAATAGCCGTTAAACTTAATATCTGTTGTAAAATGTTATGGTTACATCAAATTTTATTCACACATACAAACAACAGATACAACGTGTACGAGAAATGTATATGACATACATACATACATACATACATAACTTCACGCTTGTCTCCCAAGAGGGTAGGCAAAGACTATGGAACGCCAATTACTACGATTCCTACATACCTCTTTCGCTTCATCAACAGCCATCAATCTTTTCATGAAAAGAATATGAAAGATACAAACACCAGAATTTTCTCGTACTCTGTTTATTGGGAACATATAGGCTATATCTAAATAGCATACAGCTACATCAAAGTCTAAATACTGCAGAATAAGGTGTAGGTGAGAGAACACTTAACCTATTGGAATACATAATTCTAAAACACCTTTACCTACATACATACATAGGTAAGTACTAAGTAGGTACATTCACCGACCCTGAATATTTATTATATAAAGGCATATTTGATGCCAAAAACAAGTTCCTTTGATAAAACGCGCTGAATTTGTCGACACGGTTCAACGATTTATCTGCGGCTATTTAGGGATTATCCGTTTGAGGTTTGAATAACAAAGGTCATGCCTCAGCTTTTTGGTATATATGTACTTAAGTACTGAAGGTTGTGAAGGTTACGTAAATATTTTATGGTGTGGGTATAGTATTTAAGGTTGACACTCATTCGTAATACTTTTGTATTGATCATGTTGTGTATTGTGTGGTACATATGCAGACTTACCTAACAAGACTTCAAAATAGTTGGTCTAGATCCCAAAACCATCAAAACCTAGTCCCTTTTTACTTGCTCTTAAATGCCTTAGACAAGAAAATGGTATATTTTTTGGTTATTTGAACTGTCTTTAAAACAATAACCACAACGACTATCGACAAACATGGGAACTAAGAGAACAGCGGGAATCCGTCCAATGCATCGGCATAACGAGCTCGGATAATTGCCTGCTCTGTTTGCGTATCATATTGCGTCATCATCGACCGTCGTGGGCGGCAATCAGCCCGAGTATACCTATCATTCGTAACTAATTCCAGCCACACAATACATAAACTAGATTTTATTAGTATTATCCCTCATCTGATCACCCCATTTACACAGAATATATAGACATTATTAGATAAACCAACAAACTCCTAAAGAGCAACTAACTCTTCAAAATAAGCTTAATATTAACTTACACCGAAGCGATGTTTGATCATTCTATTAAAACAAACTTTAGGGATAAACATGTAAAAGTTTGCACAAACTAACATAACGAAGTTTAAAGGGCACAGAATTTTGTTTAAGTACAATTTACCTAATAGATATTTATTTTGTAGCGAACACGAACTTTTGAACTCCCTTTATTATAATGTTACGCCTATTATTATTCTCAGATGGTTAGATAGCCGTGTATTATTTAGCGTAGGTAATCTTTTTAGCAGTAGCAGCAAGTAAGATTATTACAACTATCTAACCCGAAACAAGCTTTTTAAGAATTAAAAAGTACCTAAGTAAGAATATTAAGTTACTACTACACATTCAGTACAATAGCACTATTGATTTCTGCAATATCAGTGTACAGTTACTTACCCATCTTTGTGACGTACACTATAAAATCTACTGTTGATAGCCTGATAGTAAAACTGTCCATCAAATGAGTACCCACTGGCTGTTCTAGCATATATGACCGTATTAATTTCCACGTAGTTAAGTTTTATTACCCGTATGAGTGATATTGTCAGTAAGAAGTTTAATAGCAAGTGCTCCAAGCAAGCATAAAACGATCCAGCATTTAGGTCAAGTATCTATATTATGTTTAAGTTTTACATACCTATATTACGTGTTCCAATAGTCTAGAAGGAAACTAAGAATTTACAAACAACAATTCCTATTGGAAAGATAAGTATTGTCCGAATCATAGCCACAGATGAACCGTTGTTGCTAAGCAATTTTTTATAAGGAATGAATAATGAAATGAAACAACATGTTGAAAATCTGAAAACCCATCTCGTCGACTCTCCCGACCCTCGCCCACCCCAGCTTAAACCGAAATAAAGATCTGATACTGGCAAACGTCGGGCAAAGCCTATGCCGTTGACGCCTAAGCCGAGATTCGTACCCTAATAGAAAGTTAGAATATATCACAAAGTAGGTAAGAATTAGAATAATTGCTTTAACTGGGGTCTAGGGACCTTAACCAATAACTTAATTAGGGCGACACTAGTTAGTTCGATTAAATAGATAAGTACCAGTAGTCTTTAATGCATAGGGTTGCCTTGATATTCTTTAAAAAAAAAGAGATAGCAATGTTAATAGGGTCAAAATGCCGTGTCATCCCTGAGGGTTCACAACTGTTGGATCTTATATGTATTGACATTAAGCCAAATCTGGTTACGAATAAGCCTCCGCCCAACCTAATAGGGAAAAGGACCAGAAAAACGTATTACCTAGGTGAATTAGATTACGTTCACTGAATAAAATGTCAACCAACACACACAAGCTCCAATGATACAAATGGTTATTTCATTCTTTTTATTCAAAACAAAAATATATTGGTGTTTGGACTATCACTCGTTCGTGGCATAAAAGAAAATCAATACGTTTGTCAGACATTTTCAAGCCCGCTTAGGTACGTACACAGATACTCTACTACCCAAATCTAACTATGGTTTTTGTTTAAAAATGAATATTCAATACGATGAACTAATCAAACTAAAACTATTTGATCAAGGCTACGTGAATCTTAACTGAGAGCAAATAGGCTGTTATTCCATTTATAACGATAATTATTGTTTCAGTATTGGCTTACCACACATTATGGTAATCTCGTATTGAGAGAACAAAAAGTTTACGTTTAATTATATTGTAATATTATATTAAGTTTACTTAGTCATATTAAGTTTTCATTTCTATTAATTTTAGATGAGGTTTACTAACGGCTAGTCTTAGTAACCGATATATCTATCGATGGATTTGATTTCTAAGAAATATAATTTCTTTTAAATACACTTACTTTATACAGACCCCTGTATAAAGTAAGTACTTGTTCACTGATTTTCATAAAGTAATCAGTAGAAATAGATATTTGACTAAACGTTGTATAACGTAGATAAACATTCATCTTCTTTGATAAGTAATGAAGGCTAGATTAATAGAGTATCTAAACACAAGTATGACGTAGATACATAGGTCACGCAACTATTTCAAGACACAAAGACGTGTTTCGTAATTAAATGTCTGAACTAAAATTCTTAACTGATTGGCGAAGTTATTTGACAAACATTTAAATTTATTAAGTAAATACAATTATGTATTTATGTATTTAACGTTAGTCACGTTTAATTACAGAAGGTTTAATTAAATATCTCAAACTTTCTAGGAGTCATCGTATTCTCAGAATGAAAGGTCACTTCTACACATTTCTTTACATTTGTCTCTCTATGTAGGTTTAATTAATTAAGTTTTTGTACATGGGTATATAACTTCTATGTTTCGCCAAAGGGTGGCCGCATTCGGGTAGTTAAACATGTGTGTAAACATGTACAGTAACATGGACTTTAGACACAGATAATATCAGTCTTATGTATATTTCGATCTAACTAATCCATTGAGCATGATTCCAATCTTTGTGTTAACCTATTTAACGAGAATTTTCAAAGATAGAAACCTAGACTCCTGAATACATCAGGTCGCAAACGTGCAGACCTATTACTTTAGCTTTCAACGCATCATTTGTCACTCGCCTCATCTAACAAATTACAACTGCCAGTCACGCCCTTCTTCCCCGAAGACTTGAGAAAGTTACAATACAACCGACATTTTGTGTTAAGGCTCGTCTCATACGACAAGGGTTGCCAAGGAAAAGGTCGTCCTCTGGGAAGACATTTAACCGTATTTCTATCAAATAAAATGATCCTATTATTGGTTTTAATGGCCGCTCCCATAAAAGATCGTAAATTGAGAATTGAGACGAAATATCAAACCTCCTTAGTCGAGGTCGTCCCTAATGATATTTTATCGTTTCATTTTTCATTAAACTTTTGCTCAAATATTAAGGTTACTGTATAAACGATTTTAATACTGCGAAGAATTTAATATTGTAGAGGCTGATTTTCATTATTTTATGGATGTAAAGTAAACTGAGAATAGTCCGTTAAGTTGGCTTAGTATATTATTAGGGAATTACCTAAATAGATACCGTAGTCCTTATTCCGGTAGAATAAATACGTGCGCATTACGCGATAGGGATTTTCCAATAAAAATCACGTAGAATGTTTAGCAACACAAAATTACGAAACTTATTAATTTGCTAATACGGAATTTCAAACCCAATCCCCTTCACTACGACCACAGCGATCAACGTCGCCGTCGTCGATATCAAATATTTTGTCATATTATTATAGTAGGTAAGTACATTAGGTTTAGGTAGTACCCGAATAACAGGTAGCCGACCCTTTTCACTTCAAGGACTAGGACCGGTTCACTGGACATTTCAAAAGGAAAAATTTGTTTGCATTGTGGAACCTAATATTTCTTGGTCAATAAATTATTAGAGTACGAAGGGACCATCCGAGGAGAGTGATGGGCTTGAAAGGCGGTAATCAAGCTGCCTACTGAGGCTATATCTCTGCTGCCACTCGTGCCTGTAATTGGCGGCTTGAGTGACGTGCGCCATCGGTTTATTATCAAAGAAACATTGAAACGGTTTGGTTAGGGTTTCTACACCCTTTTAATTACTTGGGGCCGATTTTTCAATGCTCAGTTAAATTTTATCAGAGGAATAACTTTAAGAAGAAAAGCAAAAGAATTAACTGATGATTGAATAATCGGCCCTTGGTGTTTAATAATAGAATCAAGTACAAAACTTAACAACGCGTTTTACTTAGATTTTTTTAAATTTAGAAATAGAGTGAATATGTTACCGGCCAAACCCGATTTCAGGACAAACTAGTTTTGCCTAGGCTAAACTAGTTCTTCCTATAAGCGTTAGGATTAACTAGTATAGCCTAGTTCAAACTAGTTTGTCCTAAGCCCGATAGGACAAACCAGTTTAGGCTAGGACAAACTAGTTGATCCTGATATAAATACGCACACTCTAGGATAAACTGGTATGACCTAGTCATAATATGATTATTGCGTCTATTAAAAAAAAAACAATGCGACTGCCTCGTTGGCTGAGTGGTCGCAGTGCGACTGCCGGGCAAGGGGTCTCGGGTTCGATTCCCGGGCAAAGTATTAGTTATTTTATTTATTGAATATGCTTCATGCACAAAAT